ATTTGTGATAATATTGTTAACTGTTAATAAAAAAGGCGTCTAGATAAATTTAGAAGAGGAAATATAAGAGGACCAGGATACTTTGATTTCTTATGATTTAGGGAATGCAAACATGATATGATCATAAGTTGTGTCGAATAAATACTAAAATGAATTGATTAATATTACACTATTTGAAATTCTACTTTGTTTCTTTTTTATTAATTATGATATGATTCATGTTATTTATTCAACAAATTCGATTGATTGATACGGGTTGATTTTCTGTTACGAGCAATTGAGGAAACAATAGCCAGTCCGATAGCCGCTTCAGCGGCTGCAATAGCTATAACAAAAATTGAAAAAATATTTCCTTTTAATTGGCGATTATCAAAAAAATCAGAAAAAGTGACTAGATTTATATTCACTGCATTCAATATAAGTTCAAGACACATAAGGTCTCTAACCATATTTCGGCTCGTGATCAATCCATAGATACCAATAGAAAATAAATAGGCACTCAAAACAAGTACATGTTCGAGCATCATTGACCAACTCCTTATCAATTTTGATTCATTTCAATATGAACAACAATTCAACAGATTCAATTGACTAAAGAATATAACAAGTCTGCAACAAAAGAATATATTGGCAATAAAAAAAAAGAATTTCTACCTAAAAACTCTTTCACTTCACATTGAAAAAAAAAATACATATATATATATATATAGTCTTGATTTATATTAGTAGTTCTCTAAAGATTTCTTACTGGCGAGCTACGACAATTGCACCTATCAAAGAAACTAAAAGAATTATTGAAATTAGTTCAAATGGAAGAAAAAAATCTGTTGATAAATGAATTCCAATTTGTTGACTAGTACTTATCAAATCTTGTTCAATAATCTGATTTGGTCTTGTAGTCCAAATAATTCCGTACCATGATGTATCTGAAATAATAGTTATTAGTGAAACAAAAATACTTGTACAAACTATCAAAGTAATTCCATCCCCTATGGTCCAAAGATGAAAATCTTGGTAATATTCGGAACTATTCATGAACATCACAGCAAATATGATTAAAATGTTAATAGCTCCCACGTAAATAAGTAGCTGTGATGCAGCTACAAAATGCGAGTTTGCTAAAATATATAAGAAAGAGATACAAACAAGAACCAGTCCCAACGAAAAAGCAGAAAAAATGGGGTTGGTAAGTAATACTACTCCTAAACTTCCTAATATAAGACCCGATCCCAGAAAGACTAAAAGAAAATCGTGCAGCGTTTCAGGCAAATCCATTATATGTAAAAAAAAAAAAGACAAAGAAATCGAAATTTCATGACCTTATTGATATGACCAGGAAAAAATTGTTATATACTTAAATTTTTCTTTGCATTGAAAAAACCTAAGTAGTTTAAATTGATATAGTTACGGTTATATAATCAATGTCATTCCACTTAAACTACTCTTTATACGAAAGAGTAGTTTGAAATGATATTAAAACTAAAGTATAAAGGTAGATAGAACATATATAACCATTTGAACTAGTCTTTAAATTAAAGAATATTTCAAATTTCGATAATATATTTCTCTATTCTATTTAAGAATATATTTCTCTAATAATTAGAGAATATTTCTAATCCAATATCGATTATATGATTCATTTTTTATACAATTTTTGAAAATATTTTATTTCGATTATTCTATATATTCTATATATATTCTATATATATATAGAAATCTATATATATATATATATATATAGAATATTCTTTTTTTTTAGAATTGTATTTTATTAAATTATAAAAAATTGTCTTTTTTTATTTGATTTGAATTGTTCGAATTGTATAATCATCAATTATTGACATTGGTAAACGGCCCAAAGCAATTTGATTATAATTCAATTCATGACGATCATAAGTTGAAAGTTCATATTCTTCAGTCATTGATAAAAAATTTGTTGGACAATACTCAATACAGTTACCACAAAAAATACAGATTCCGAAATCAATACTGTAATTTAGCAATCGTTTCTTTCTAATATCCGTTTCCATTTTCCAATCAACAAGGGGTAAATCTATAGGACATACACGAACACATACTTCACAAGCAATGCATTTATCAAATTCAAAATGGATTCGACCGCGGAAACGTTCTGATGTGATTAATTTTTCATAAGGATATTGAATAGTTACAGGTAAACGATTTGCGTGAGATAAGATAATCATGAAACTTTGACCAATGTACCTTGCAGCTCGGACTGTTTGTTGACCATAATTTATGAACCCAGTTACCATAAGGAACATATCGTAAATATCTATGAATAGTTTTGTTTTATTTCTTTCTCTTATTTGAGACAAGTAATGAATATAGAAGATCCATCTTTTACAGCGAAAACAATTGAGACGAAGTTGTTAATAATAGATTACCGAGAGAAATAGGTAAAAGAAATTTCCATCCAAGATTTAATAATTAATCCATTCTTAGCCTAGGCAAAGACCATCTTGTTATGATAGAAACAAAT